TGAGACACAATTGTAATTTTCCAAGTCATNTGAGATATTTTTGAAGGATTTTCGTACATTTTATAGCACTTCTGAAGACTATTCGTGAATGAGGATCGGGGGATTTCAACAGATGGGTTGGGGTTAATTGTACCATTCTTCGTGGTGTAAGTTGTACTGTGTTAAGGTATGTCTAGACTTATCATCAAATAGCAATGGAAAGTGGATGTGCTCAATGTAAGCACGTTCACACGAAGATTGCACTGACAAAGTGAATACATAGCCTACATTTGCAACATAAAAGTATGACGTAAAACTCCATTCATTACATTTCATTTACATTTGGGATTTGGGATAAATCTGATTTTGAAATTTGAAAATCGTCTTAAGGCCAATTTACACAATAAAGCAAGTTGTATACAGCAAGCTATATACAACTTTTATTGATATATTCCTTGACGGTTTGATGCACTTGCTTTTTAAAGCAAGGTTTATACAACTTGCTTTACGTGTAAAAAATAAGGCTTTGTGGTTTAAATGTAACCCTTTCTACCAGCAAAGGATGTTAGTTTTATCTTTACATGGCCAGTTTCAACAGTGGATTTTTCACATTATTATTTAAACTACCACAATTTACTTTACAATGAATTGTCTGGATAGATAAAAGAAGAATTGTTCTTAATTGTCATAATTGTAATTATGAATTTTTATTTTTAGGTCTAAGATTTCAAGGTTTTTTAAATTCCTTTCTTTTGTTAAGTTTACAAAATATTAGCTCGACCAGTGCTTTACATAAGCTTAAGCAAAACTATACAGGTGTGAAATTAGCACCCTTTGACTTCATGACCAGTTACATAATATTTAAAACTTAACTTATTAGTAGTATTGTTTGTTTTTCAAATATTTTAACAAATTTTGATCATGCATATTATATTATGTATTTTTTAAGCTGTCATTTTGCACATTATAATTCTGTTCGAATTTTTCCGATAAGTTAATTACAACTCACTTAAGTCCGCATTATATTAAAATCACCTATTTTCAATAAACCATTCCTGCTGACCTGGTCACATAATCTTTTTAACTCCTGAAAATCCTTATAAATTAATAGAAATTTTTTCCCACATTTTGTTCATGCAAAATAATTTATACATTATAATTCTGTTTTCAATAATGCATATTCCATTAAGTTTAAGGCCGACAACTAAATATAGACGTTGTTAGAAAACTTATGACAAGCATATTACAAGAACATCCAATTAAATGGTGAAAAGTCCAAGTTCGTGTGATATAATCCTCCAATGATACAAAAAATAACAAATTACCCATTTTCAGAGCCGTGTTTAATTTACCAAAATAACAAATATAGGTATCACTTAAAATTTAAGAGCATATATTTCTCTAAAAGATGAAGGTTGCCGAAGGTCGGGTTCAAAAGTTATAAAAAAAACTTTGACAATTTTAAGGCAAATCGAAAAAAAAATAAGCATTTTATGGCGGATTTCTCTACACCAATTCTGGTTGGAGTCTGCACCTATATTAAATAGGTAATTCCGCGATCTGAAATGTCTGGAAATAAACAGAATTAATAATTAATGACAACAATACAGCTTCTAGACATAAGATATGATTACATAAACAATAAGATTTACAGAAATAATATATGAATGTATATACAATTAGATTAACAGAAATAGGCTAAGATATAAATACTTAAAAATTATAATTCCAAAAATAAGATATAAATACGTAAACAATGTTATTTACACGAATGAAATATATATATAATATGCCTAAATATGAATAATAAAGAATATGAAAGAGAAAAACACATTTACATAATGATTTCATTGATACACTTGAAATATTGTACAATAATTTATGTGATATAAAAATCGATTCATACACATTTTTCAAGAAGAAACAGATTGAAAGATTAACTGGATTTGGATATTATATGTAGGCTATGTTAGTAATGCATCACATATTCATATTTAATTTCTTCCAGCATTATGTAGATCGTTCTCATAAACTCCAGGACGAGTATTTAAATCTTCATATGTTCTATCTGTAAAGAAAAAATACTTGCAGAATAACAGTCAGTTTAATGATAATAGTAGTTTTGATAAAAATATTAATAAAAATAATAATCATAAAACGACGACAACCACAACAGTAACAACAACACCATGCATCATCTCTACATTCGTCTTGTTAATATTACGTGATCCTTTGAAACTTGATCCTATAATTGGATGATTACCTTTTTTGGCCGGTTTCGTTTAAAAAAAATTGATGGAATCACGTACGTGACAGAAATGGGCTACTGATGGTCTGACCATCTTTCGGAATATGTCGGGATTTTGTGAATTCGAGATAAATAATCATGTTTTAAACCCCCGTAGTTTTCTGACCCTGCTCTAGTCGGCAACTGCCAATATATATATATATCTTTGGGAATAAAGTGTAAATTGTGGCTTTGTAATTTTGTTGATAATTTGCAAACACTTACCTTCTGGATTTCTATTAGAAAAGGTTGCATAACTGAAATATAAGATAATGATTTGAATTATTTTTATCAGTTTTGACAACAAAGCTCTCGAGACTATATGATAATAAAAGAACTTTTTTGCAGTAACTATTTCTGTCGTTTTTATGTCTGTTTTTTACTTATTGGACTCAACCAAAAGGACTACAATTGTTAGTGAATAAATAGACTTGACGATATTTACTGTGATAGAACCAAAACTTCTCGAAAAGAGGAATAACACTGATTCAGAATTATATAGCCACATAATATATTATTTTAAATGTATTTCACATAGTAGATTATTAGAATACGAGTTTTAGACGACCAAGTTGAATATAACTTACCTTTCTTCTGGTAATTTCTTTTTGGCTACAAAGTAAGATGATATTAATCGTAGTGCTTACCAACAGACCGAATAACAGCTATAACCGATATCAAATTTAGTATGAATTTGTCTTGATTATCGTGTTATCAGATTAATTTCTGGAAGTGTTGATCAGTTGTTTGAGAAGAGACAGATTCTTATAATTGAACTATGTGGCTATATTTTTTCAATCTTATAATATATTTTGTTTTTTTTTCTAATTATATTGTATTGTATTTTATGGGTAAACAAAGTATAAAATATTATGTTTGTACATTGAAAAATACTGGTCCATTGATCAAAACCCAAAACATAAGACGCATAGAAGAAAATAATCTTCACAAAAAGTAAATGTCGTGTGCTTCTCTTTTATTTTAATGATTCCCCAAATATTTATAATAATCATGCCCAATACCTGGATGATATTTTCTATATATAAATATTGTCAGTAAAACAAGAATTACAATAACAACAGATATTCCAATACCAACACCAATACCAGTTCCAAAACCAATTCCAATACCAGAATCTATGGAATAAATTAATTTAGTCAATACACTCAACTGATCCATTTACCAAGACTATTCAACTGATTCAGTACACTGTCTGGCGTTGTCCGTCTTCATAAAAGTAACCTAATAGAGTAGACGTAAATCTATGCATTTCGTTTCATTTTAATACACTCTACACATTAATATCCTATTAAATATTTATAAGTACGATATCACATAAAGTAATTATATTGGACCGTTAAAAATTCATGAAAACATGTCTCAAATTTGTCAAATTATATTTAATTCTACAAATAAAACTACCTTCTTCTATGATTTTAATTCCAAAGGTATTTGCTCTAGTTTCACTATTAATAATATTTTGTACACTAATTATATAATAACCAAACGAAGATTGGTCTAATATTATTTCTAATGTGGATATAAAGTTATTCTCAGAAACTTTCTTAGTTTTAGCAAAGGGATATTCTACATCAGACATCAACTGTTTCCATATAAAACTTGGTTCAGGATAAGCTTCTATATTTATTTCTAATAATACCATTTCTCCAATTTTTCCTCTTATTTCTTTCTTCAGTTCTTCTTTAAGTATTGGTGGACCTTAAAAAAGGTTAATGTAAAAAACTAGAGTAAATATAAAGCTATGTTAAACCATTGAGACAAACTAAATCTTGATCAGAAATTCTAACAAGTTGAATAAATGTTATTTTAATGATCAAATCAGTTTGCACTTTCCAGTTTTATAATTTATTTGTAGGTTGGAGACACTTACGATTTATTCATACTATTATTAGCTATACATGTATATTATAATATACTGACTAAATATAAACCTACACCTAATATTTAAAGGTATAGATTTAGTAGTTGTCTGACCAATACCATTATTAGCCGTACATGATTTAATCATAGTATGCCCGACTAAATATGTAACAAAATCTATTATTTAATGGTAATGATTTAGTAGTTGACGGTCCATTACCATTATTAGCTGTACATGTATAGATTATAGTATACTGACTAAATATGAACTTACATCTAATATTTAATGGTAAAGATTTAGTAGTTGATTGATCAATACCATTATTAGCTGTACATGTATAGATTATAGTATACTGACTTAATATGAACTTACATCTAATATTTAATGGTAAAGATTAAGTAGTTGACTGACCAATACCATTACTAACTATACATGTATAGATTATAGTATACTGACTTAATGATATAAACTTACAATTAATATTTAATGGTAAATAGTTCGTAGTTGACTAATTTATACCATTACTATACATGTATAGATTATAGTATACTGACTAAATATGAACTTACATCTAATATCTAATGGTAAAGATTTAGTAGTTGATTGATCAATACCATTATTAGCTGTACATGTATAGATTATAGTATACTGACTTAATAATATAAACTTACAACTAATATTTAATGGTAAATAGTTCGTAGTTGACTAATTTATATCATTATAAATATGTATAGATTATAGTATACTGACTAAATATAAATTTACATCTAATAATTAATGGTAAAGCTTTAGTAGTTGATTGACCAATACCATTAGTAGCTGTACATGTATAGATTATAGTATATTGACTAAATATATACTTACATCTAATATTTAATGGTAAGGATTTAGTAGTTGATTGACCAATACCATTAGTAGCTGTACATGTATAGATTCCTGTAACCTGACATTTAGCTTGAGTTAATGTCCACTGTTGACCAGTGTTAGTATCAGTACTAGTAGAAGATGACCAGGTGATAGTAGATACTGGTTTACTATTAACATTACAGTAAAATGTGACATCAGAACCTTCATCAGTTTCGTTATTTACAGCATCAGATGTTATACTGGTTATATATGGTGGATCTGAAAGAGGGAAAATAGAAAATATATAGGAAACCAAAAACTACTTACACTGACTAACTTTTATGGAAAACCAAAATCGATTTCACAATAACCCATATATATTAGACAAAACATCTGATTGCTAACAAATCTATACCTACAATGTACATTAACTTGTATAGATTTAGATCTTGTTTTAGGGATGGTATTTTTAATATTGGTAGCTTCACATCTATAGTTTCCTCCCTGATTTCTTTTTATTTCAGTCAATACAAGATCTTTAGATGGCGATGAAATTGGTCCAGTCCATTTATAATTACATTTATAACAATCAGTTAAACATGTTATAGTTTGATCTCTACCTTCTATTATATTGATACTTGTTACATCTGGTGAGAAAGTAAGTTCATCAGGACCATCTGAAATAATAACAATCAGTTAACATGTTATAGTTTGATCTCTACCTTCCGTATATTGATACTTGTTATATCTGGTGAGAAAGTAAGTTTATCAGGACCATCTGAAATAATAACAATCAGTTAAACATGTTATAGTTTGATCTCTACCTTCTGTTATATTGATACTTGTTATATCTGGTGAGAAAGTAAGTTTATCAGGACCATCTGAAATAATAACATTCAGTTAAACATGTTATAGTTTGATCTCTACCTTCTGTTATATTGATACTTGTTACATCTGGTGAGAAAGTAAGTTTATCAGGCCCATCTGAAATAATAACAATCAGTTAACATGTTATAATATTATATACTTTAAGTTGTTTTGTAAGTTGTTTATTTAATACAGTATGTGTAACTGTACAGATATAAGAACTAGTTTGTTGTCTAGTATTTATTAATAAAATATTATATACTTACAATAAATCTGGACATTAAGTTGTTTTGTAAGTTGTTTATTTAATACAGTATGTCTAACTGTACAGGTATAAGAACCAGTTTGATCTCTAGTACTAAGTGATAAAGTGTTATTTAGAATTGTTGTTGAACCATCTTTATACCAGGTGATGTTACAATCTGGATTACAATCAGCTAAACAGTTGACACTCTGACTCTTTCCTTCTATAACATCTATATTATCACTAGTAGGGTTTAATATTGTATTCTCTGGACCATCTGTAANAATCACTTTGATTTTAGCTATTT